CACACACACACAGAGTCAGTCCTTAAAGTGCTGGCTCAGGTGTATCCGAATAACATGAGTTACTTCCTCAATCTCTCTCTCCAGACATAATTAACTGCTTGGTTAACCCTGCCTTGTGAAGATGATTAGATGACAGAGAAGGAGAGCATGAGAAAGAGTGAAGGAGAGATGAGAAGGTGGCATATCTTCATGGAAATTAAATTGTGTGTGTGTGTGCACGCTGGGGGGCTTGATTCGTTGTGCTAATTAAAGAATAATCTGGCTAAAGGTGTTTTTCTTTTTACCTGATATCAATTAATTTACCAGGTCCGGTTTGATCTGTACACATCCAATTTAATCGTGGCTTTTTTTTTTTTTTTCAGATCTCTGATTAATATTGTGCGTGTGTTTACATATGACTGCATATGTTTCTGTTTGGCTGTAAACTGGACATGAAAGACTTTATAATTGTTTGGTTATCAGAAAAATAGCACATGAAAAATGTGTGAGTTCAAACACCGTTTTGGGACATTGATGTCACCTAAATTATTCATTTCTCACCTGTTTGATGCTTTCATGCACATTGCATGTGGGTCAGTGACATGAGGCTCATTTGTATCAATTTATACACACAATGAGTTGAACACATCTCTTCTATAATGAGCATGTATTTTATTTTAGAATTAAAATAATTTTTTTTAGACATTAAGTCAAAAATATCATGAGGACAATTGTCATAATATAATGAAGAATTATTTTTTTTATTGTATTGTTTAATATTTGAAAAAATTAATATGGTACAACAAACATGCAGAAATGTGTACAAAAAACTGAAAATTATATCATAGAGAGGATTTCTAATAATATTCATAATAATATTAGATTAATAATTTAATTATAATAATGTATAATACTTTTATTATTGTTGTTTTTGTTTAATAATTAAGCTAGGATAATAATAATAATAACTTGTTTTTGTTTAAATGATTGTTGTTATTATTAAATAGTTATTTAATTATTATATTAAATATATTACATATAAAATAATGATCATAGATAGGACTAATGATGATAATAATAATAATAATTAAAATAAATAATTATATATATATGTATATGTATATGTATATATATATATATATGTATATGTGCTTTTTCTCCACAGGCGGCTCGTTTGAAGCTGGCGGTTTTGCCCGTGGTGGGTGCAGTGGTGGGAGGAGTGCTAGGAGGGCCGCTGGGACTCTTAGCGGGATTTAAAGTGGCGGGGGTTGCTGCTGCCGTGGGGGGTGGACTGCTTGGTTTTGCCAGGGGCAACCTGATCCAACGGATGAGGAAAGAAAGTATCGCCCTGCAGCTACAACAGCTTAAGAGCAACAACAACAGTAAGAACGACACTCAGTGATACACTCAAGCACATTTGTTTTTGTAGAGGAGGCCACGAGACGGCGGAGTTGGCGACCCACGCGCATTCTGAAATAAACACCAGACGCTCAATGCACATAAAACAACCACAACTGCAGAATC